CACAAAATAACCTTTAAAGATATTTTCATGTGAGAATGGTGCTGTGTAAACTTCTAATATCTGCTCGATTTATCAAGACATCACATATTTGCAAAAGTGCTCTAAACGTTTTCAGAGATGCCTGAGTTTTGGACGAAATACAATAAATTTCTCCTCAAAATGCAACACTTGCACCTGCAAACTTTTTTTTACGTGCGCTCAGAATAGTGGCACAAAAATAACGCCATAATAGTATGATGTCTTTAAAATAAGATGGGTCCTGACTGTTAAAGACTTTGTGTGTCAGGAGAAGGACAAATATTATGTGCCTTTTCTTGTCACTGCAGTGTTTTGGATCAACTGAAGGGTTTTGGATAAGATAACGAAGTTATCACGATGCAGTGATTCTGAGATATTTGACAAACATCTGTGTAAGTGAACAAGAAAAACTCTTGGGGAAAAAATGAGGAGTTAGATATTTAATCTGTACGTTGTGGCGTCATTGTGGACTTTTTTTTTTTAAAATAAAAATTTTGCAATTCAATTTATTAGCTATTTCACTTTGTGAGTTTGATAAAAGCCTCCATGAGGAAGCTAGAATCAGGGACTCTGAGGTGTGATTGGTTGGGAGAATCATCAGCTGTATTTTTTAAATAAAATATTTTGATATTTGAAACCAGCTATAAAATGTGTTGCCCCCCCATCAAGACCATAAATGGGTTTTATTTTTAAAGAGAGCATCAAAATGTGTAAGTGTTGACAGTGACATATTGTAGTTTTGATGATAGCATTGTGTTTTTTTTTTTGACCGTGTTAATCATGAATTGAAAATCCTACGTCGTGACCTCACTCGACTTTTTTCTCGTCCATCTTTTTGCAAGATGTTGCGCCGCATTTATGTCACTGAATTTTTCTGAAGAACAAATTAATGGAGGCGTTTGCGGTCTTGGGTGAATTCTAGTTCAGTCAGTACGTTTCTTGTAAGCGGTGTAATTGCAGCTTTTTATAGATGCATTCAGCACTTTTTTCTTCTTCTTAAATTATGTGTATATGTCTACTTTCATGACTCTGTTGTCCCTTCTGTGTCTTTCAGGCCAGTTTATACCGGGCTGGATACAGTAGGTTTGCTCCTTACTAAAACCACAAATCACATCCAAGGAATTTCACTTTGGTCCAAAACCCTTTTTCAGGCTCTTTGCTTGGCAGGAGCTCCCCTACATTTTTTTCTGCAGGCAGATTATAGCAACAACCCCTTTTATTATTTTCTTTTCCCTTTTTTTGTCTTGTGGCGAGAGAAGTCATTGCCACATCATCAACTGAAACTCAGTTCCTGTACTTTTGTGTCCGTCACTGACATGGAAACGATGACAAAAACCCCCAAAACAAAAAAACTGCCAGGAGTGTATCCCTTGTATAAAGAGCTGGAGCAACAGGACACAGTTTGGGATGCTTTTTTTGTTAGATTTGTTTTTGTTTTTTTAAGAAAAACACTACAGGACCTGGAAGGAGACAGACTGCTGTTGTTCCTATGACATCCTGCACACTACAAAATCTTTTTTTTTTTTTTTTTTTGGTCCCTAAAAATATCCAGACTTCCAGTTTATCCACTGTCCTGTCAGATCACACACACACTCTTACATTAAACACCAAGTATAGATTCCTCTACACTTCCCTTTAGTGTCAGACTTCACTAAATGATACTAGAAAAAGGTACTTCTGTTTTTAAACACTACGTTGACATAGAGCTGCTCCCCCCTACATCCTTCTGATGTTAGTATCATGTAATACTGAAAAAAAAGAAAAGAATCAAATGCAGAGGATGTAGGAGCTATTCTTGTTTTTGCCACGCTGGAACATCCAACTTTCAGCTGGAGGAAACTTCTGACAGAAACCACTTTTTTTGTTCTCTTAATAACTTCGAACTTATATGGCATGTCTATTGGGGGGGGGG